GATTGTAAGACGAGGGCATCCTGGTTTACCTGGATGTAGGCAGCTCTGACTCACAGCGACCCCACGGATGGCAGAATGAAAACACTGTCTGTGTTGGCCTCCTGATTGAGTCCATTGCTGTCACTGGGTCAGTCCTTTTCATTGAGACTCTCGTTTTCCCTGACCTTCTAGCACAAGCCCTAAATCCAATGACCATTGTCACTATTAAGACACAGGAGAGTGAACTCCGATACAAAGGAGAAGGCTATGTGAAGGTGGAGGCAGGGATTGGGGTGAATGGGCCACAAGCCAAGGAAGGCCTGGAGCTCCTAGAGGCTGCAAGAGGCAGTGCTCCTCCCCTAGAGTCAGTCCTAGGAGGGAGTGTGACGGTGATCTGACTCCTGCCCCCCAGAACATGTTTGTGGTGTTTGTAGTCACCCAAGGTGTGTGGCTTTGTCACAGCAGTCATGGGACACGGTGACACTCAGGTCCTATTTCCCAGGACACAAGCTGGCTCTTTAATCTTGGAGCAAACTGGCCTCAGACCTTGCCAGCTAAATATGTGAATTGTGGGGAGCTCTGGTGGCCTAGTGGCAAGAAGCTGCACTGCAATCCCAGAGGCACGCGGTTCAAATCCACCAGATGCTCTGCTGGAGAAGGAGGGACAATCTCCTCCTGTACCAGTTGGATCTGATTTGATGGTACATGCACACAAAATAATAATTTTTAAAAGTATGTGAGTCATGCAGTGGGACACAGTGACTTCTCTCTGCAGGGAGCTGGAGAGACCAGGATTGTGGGAGGCCCCTGTGAAGGAAAACCACCAGGAAACCCCCAATGAGGCAGGTCTTCTTGTCTGAATCACTTGGCCCCTTATTCATTCATCCATTTACTTGTGCAAAAAGCCACACAGCTACCAAGTAAAAGAACTGGGCCTCAGACCTGAAAACTTGAACATGAGCCAGTGAAGGGGCCACCAAACAGGGGACTGGATTTTCATCCCCACCCAGGCAGGGCAGCAGAATCAAGGTGTGGCTGTAACGCTTTAATTCCACAGTATGTATTATGTACAAATAAAAAGATGCCCAAGTGTGTAGTTCAAGTCCTCCTAATCCTTTTTTATTATTTTTGTACGTGTACCGTCAAATCAGATCTGACTGGTACAGGAGGAGACTGCCCCTCCTTCCCTGGCAGAGTATCTGGTGGATTTGAACTGTGCGCCTCTGGGATTGTAGTTGCAGGTCCTTGCCACTAGGCCACCAGAGCTCCCAGAATCCTGATCCTTTTTTAGGGATACTGAGTTGCTCCCTTCTTTCTCCCCTTTTCTCTCATTAAAAATGTAACAGGCCATGCCCTAGAGATACTCCCATTTCATTAAGCTTTCACTGAGACTAAGGGGCGTTGCATTCCACCACTCTTTGGGTTTATCAGATTAAAATAGCTTTCATATTACATATAGGTAGATCTGGAGGATACAATTCAATCCATGACGTGGGACATTAGACCTGCTATTAGAAGGGATCAGTCTGTGGAGGACAGCAGGCATGGTAGAAGTTCAAACAGAAAAAGAGGGAGACTCTCAAGGAGGTAAGATCAACATGGTGGCTGTGACAGTGGGCTCAAAGGTCACCATGATTGTGAAGATAGCTCCGGTTAATTAGGCTATGCCCAGAGCCTCCATGAGAACTGAGCATCAGAGCGGTGTCAGGCTGGGACCGACATCAAAAGGAGAACAAAGGATTAAAGGAATAGCCTCAACTACCATGGAGTGCCCCTCCCTTTGCTCCCTAGAAGACTGTCCATCTAGCTAAACCACAATGGAAGGTCCCTCCCTAAAGGCCCTTACTGCCTTTATCAATCTTAAAGTGTGGTGTTCCCTGGTCTGTCTCTCTGTGCAGACCAAAGAATCGGGCCCAGGAGCCCCCTTAATAAAAGTTCTTCCTTTCTCTGGTCCCTTCCTTGAGTCCTTGGCCTTATGTCCAGTGCGAAGACCTAACAAGTGGGAGAGAGAATTTCACTCTGTGTACCTTTTATTTTTGTACTGTGATTTACACATCCAGAAAATAAAAATTTAGAAGTTATGCTGATGCTTATATAAGCAGACTCTTTCTTGGATGGTGTGTTAAAAAAGAAATTAAAAGGAAAAAAAAATCTTGCAGTGTGAATGACTGCAGACAGAGAAGGAACTGTAGGTGGGGGCGGAGGGGGGCCAACAGCTCCCATTTCTAGCTTTGTTACCATGAGAAAATGAAGCACTGGGGCATAATGGACTATTACAGGGGTGGGAAAAGAACAAGGCAGCTCCGCGTGGACCAGCACAGGAGGGACTTCAAGAACGATGTGGTACTGCAGTAATAGGAAAAGAAAGAGGGCACAGGGCAGTCAAGAAAGGGGAAGGCTGGGCTCCCATGGACACCCAAGACCTCCGCACACACATAGCAGGGCTAGGTGTGGCCCAGGCAGAAATGCACATCCAGTGCCTTTCCGACCCAAGTCCTTCTTAGCCTTCACTTTCCCCCAAAAAGCTTTTCCTACCTTCACCCTCACTTCCAACCAGGACCAGCTGTTGGTGGAATTCCTCCAACTGTGCAGTCAGGTTGTGTGTGCTTTTATCTGTTTCAGATGCAGTGCATAGGGACCCTCCTTGCTGTAGAATGGAGACCAGGGATGGCAGCCCTGGGGACCTGAGATCCAGTGGAGGCCGGTTCTCCAGTGTTAGGGTCTTTTGGCTGATAATCCAGGATGACCCTCTGATTAGAATGATTAGGTAGCTCTGGTAAGAAGCTGCACTGCAATCCCATAGACGGGCACACGGTTCAAATCCACCAGCTGCTCCATGGGAGGATGGGCAATGTCCCGTGCAGTTAAAACCCACGCCTCTGAAAACCTGCTGGAGGATCAGCTATGGGTCGGTTCCTACTGACAGGACACAATCTGCCCCTGCCTTGATTAGAATGGCATCTCCTGGTTATCAGTAGCTGCCCTAGAGTTGGCTCTGATCCAAAAACGTTGCCCAGTCTATGAGCAGTGAATTGGACCATTGTGACCATAATGGTTTTCACTGGCTGCTTTTTCAGAAGCAGATCTAGATCTGCCTTACAGTTCATTTTGCCATGAAAACTCTGTAGAGACCTGTTCAGCATCATGCAAGAAGCAAACCTCCACTGACAGGTGGGTCAGTGTGCTGGCTAGGAAGCAAACCTGGCAGCCCCCGGAAGGTGGGAATACTATCAGTGAATCTCCACCACGCCTGGAGTTGATAAGAGAGAGCTGTCCAGGTGTGGCTGCAGAGAACTTGCACATGGCCCAGGGAACTAAGAAGAATATTTCTAACTGTATTGGCTCAAAGGAATTGAAAACTAGTAGTAGCTACAGAATATGCCCGTGGTCAGATCATGCTACTATCCTTAGACTTCTAGTGGTCTGGGAAACTGTCTCCTAAGTCAGGTCGACTTTAGTAGATAATATCCATTTTTAAGGGATTTAATAGCAAAGCTGCACTATGTTGTCTCAAATATGTGTAATTAGTGACCTTTCAATAAAAAGCAGGTTCTTAAAAAAAAAAGTTAAAAGGAAAAAGCTGGGTCACAGTGTCTTGTAAATAGTGAGGGCAGAAAGTGAGACTTCTTCAGGGCAGGCCAGCCTGGGGCTGGCTCCTGGATGGCTCCAGTTCTGGTTGGGCTGGGCCTGCCCAGACACCCAGCTTGTTCAATCGAGAAGGGTGTGGCTGGAACGACAAGGGCACCTCCCTTTGGCTTCAAGCCCTTCACCAGGACGGAGGAGAGACCCAAGAACACTTGGAGGCCCAGCCCTCTCCCCACAGCATTGGCTCCTACACCTTTACCAAAAAACTCAACTTTAAATACCAGGCTCTCGTGCCTGGATATCTGGATCAGGCCCCAAAATCTCTTCTCTCCCATGCACAGGGTTCCTCCCTTGCCCGCCCTTCCAGTCCTGGCTGTGGCTGGAGGGATGCCCAGGTTAGGCCCACCCGAGAGGCAGAACCCTCAAACAGAGTCGCAGGACCGCTCCCCTGAGGTTTCGCATCAGTCTTTAATGCCTTTGCGCTGCACAATGACAAGTCATAGGTTTAATTCTTGGGTTGGCAGTGGCATCGTACAAAGGGCTGAGCTCAAATGGCCTTCAGAAACAGACCCCTGCTCCAACTCCCCCAACCCTCGAGGTCCTTCTAGACTTCAGTATGAACCCCTCCAAAGAGCAGCGGCTGTTCTGGACTGTTCATCTGTTCTGGACTGTTCATCTGAGGGCACACCAACTTCACATGGAATTATAAAAACATATTTACAGACGTTCCACAGTGCTCCTGTAATCAGAAGCAAAGACCCTTTTATCAAAAGGGATTATATCTAGGGCTGTGCATAATTCAAAAGGATCAGATCCCCTTGAAAAAAAAGAGTCCAGAGTCCTTTAGTTCAGAAGAGAAGGGAAACACTTCCTGAGCTCCTAGGAAGCCCAGGTGGGCCCAAAGAGCACCTTACTAAGAGGCGCAAGTGTGATTCTGAAGTCAGCAGGTTTGGCCTCACCAACACCAGTGTCCCAGGGCCCCCAGATCCTCCAAGGAGGCTATGGTGCAACTCGCTGGTGTGAGGTGGGCTCCCTTGGTCCTGTTGGAGCGAGAGGTATTGTTTGTGGGTGCGGGCTAGGCAGTTCTGCAGAAAGGGTCTAGGTTCTCAATTTGAGATGGCAAAAAAAGCCAGGATTCTGTAGGGGAAGAGCAAGGCGTGGGAGACAGCACAGAATAAAACACAAACTGAGCACACCACAGACGCTGAGGAGTGTGCAGGGTCTGGCAACTGAGACAGCAGGAAACCGGAAGGAAGCCAAGTCACTACAGAGGACTCAAGTCCAACCGGGCGCTGGCCTCTTGCCCTGATGGGGACTGAAGAGGCCAACGGACAGGGCTACAAGGGCCCACAGGGACAGACAGGAGGACCTGTTCCTGCTGTCCCCACCACCTGCCATGCCACCCTATCGCTTGAAAAACCACTGCAGTCTGTGTACGACTTTGAAAGATTGTAATATATTCTCTGGAAAACATTCAGCAGTACGAAAGCCCTCCCGCCCGCTCGTGGGCCCACACTGGTGGAATGATCTGGAAATCCTTGAGCTCTGAAAGGTCCCTGGTCAGTCCTCGGGGAATGCAGGTGGCTATATAGGAAGAACCTGTTCAAGTACGGTTCTTGATGTCTGGGGAATCCTTTCAGGGAAGATCACTTCAAACTCAATAATTAGGTCCCCGCGTTTCTCGGGCGTTTTGGGGAGGGGGAGGCCTTCT